GGCCAAGCATTACAACCTTAGTCTGAGGTACTGGAACCCACATGGAAGGGGAGAACTGACGCCCACGCTTGTGCTGTGGTGGGAGCACATGTACATGCATGCACACAGGGCTACATACATTCACACATGATGATGCACACACAAAGTAAGAAAATGATAAAAGAGAAAGCTTTGAGGAAGAATGCCTTTCTGAAATTGCAAATCCCCCATGCTTATTGTATTTTGTCTTTAATTGGGCTTGAAAATGAGAAATCATGAGTTCCACAACTATAATTACATAGATACTGAATTGTAGTTCATTCTTCAGATACTAGGTTCTAATAAATGTTCTTGTCTCATTTGTTTCCTTTTGGCCTCTTCAGAACACAGTTTGTTCCTCCTTTATAAAAAGCTGTGGAGAAAAAGGGGTCTTATGAACTCTGTTATTAGAAGTGTTCTTACTGTAGTATCATGTATGCTGTGAGATAGTGTCTTCCATATGGAACACGAAAACACACCCTGAAGATCTCAACAATATGGTTGCCTAAACAAGACTTTAAAAAAAAATGGACAGCACTGATTGAAATGCCCACATGGAAGGAGGAATCCTCACAGGACTTGGTCTCTAGAAATATAAGAACTATAAGCAGTTGAAGGCTGCCTGGAGAGGGAGAACAAGCCCCTGTCGATTAGCTAATCCAGAGAGGTCAGCCCTAAACACTCAGGAACACTGAATGATTGCAGGAGGTTGTACTTACACATTTGTGCACGGATAACTGGTGATTAAAGGCTAAGAGGCCATGGATTTGAAGAATCGGGTCCATGGGAGGGACTGGAGGGGAAGAATGATGTAAATACTCACATAGGAAATTCTCAATAAATAATTTTAAAAAGAAGTCTAATTAATAAGACTTTCATTTGTCTGTATTCTAGTTGGGATGGGAACAGGCTTTTGCTTCTGTATCCTTTTCTCTCACCCAGAACATACACTTCAGTTAACATTGGCAGACTCAGAACTCCTGTAAGCATCTCTGGATTCTGTCAAAATGCATTTGCAGTATCAGTTCCCAAGCTGTCCACAGTGTTTCTCTGGCATAATGAAGCCTTTGGCCACCACTGCTACTTTGAAAATCAAAGCTTTTTGGTCTCTAATGGAAGGTTTATAGAAATGCACCATTTTGAAATTTGTTCAGGAAAGGGAAGTGATGTTAAATGAGACTTAGAAATCCCTCTGGTTTGCCTTGGTGTTGCTTCACTTAATGTTGTGCACTCTGGAAATATCTGGAATTAGTAGGAATAAAAGAGTATTAAAACCAAAAGATAAATAAGCCCTTGTGTTCATTGTCTTGTTTTGTGGTAGTATTCCATTATATGTGTCTGCTTAGTTATTTCTTTGTGATAGCGTATCTTTTGCCAAATTTAATAAAAGTGTCTTGGAATCAAAAAACGTTCCTGACCCCTGTGTCAGAAATTCATCTTTTGTTCTGTCTTTTACTCGGGTGAGAAGGAAAGGTCTCTGGATGAGGCTGTAAGAATGTTAAGCCTATAATTAAAAGGCTGTGCTGTCTTACGCCTGCAATAAAAAGGCTAAACGCCATTCCATTGCCTCCCTTGTTGTAAATAAGAAAGGAAATCACATGTATGAAATGTATCTAGTGTAATAATATGATGAGTGTCATACTGTTTACACATAAAGACAGTGGATTTAGCTTGCTCATCCTGTAGTGTTGGCTCTGCCTTAATGAACTTATGTAGCTTAAAGTAGGAGACGGATGCTTATATGAGATGTTTAACAGGGAATTTATTCTAAGAGTCTAGTAGTGAACGTAGACCTAGAGGCCTCCTATCCCCCAGCTCCTCGACTGTAATAGAGAGGCCAGAAGACAAATGTTCCCATGGCTTTGACTATGCATTTCTGTCAGTTTGCCCATTAGCATGAGTAGAACAATTTCCATCACTCAGTATTATGTTTGTGAAGTGTTAAAATGGAACTTTGGAGTTCTGAAGTCATTGACCTTTTAGAAAATAACCAACCTTTTTCAATGAGTTGTGTTTTGCCAGTTCTTTTTTGGGGGAGTGGAGAGCTTCTCGTGACTCCTATTTTTTTTTTTAACTTTCTTTTTACTTATTCTTTGTGTCTTTCAAATCATGCATCCTGATCCCACCCATCTCCCATCCCTTTGCATCCTCCCCTTGCCCATGAAACCCTTCAGAAACTAAAACAAATTTAATAGGAAAGGGGGGGAGACATGGGAAATCCTGTCATTAAGCTACAGTCTGACATAATAAGTCAGGCATTAAACCCCTTTATTCATATGTCTTTACATGTAGGCATTCACCGCAAATAATCCTTGGTCTGGTTCAAGGCCCCTGGTCTTTGTTCTACCATCAGAGCTGGGCCCTCTCAGGGACTCTTCCTGGACATCAACACACACATAACCCTGGTTCTGGGTGTGGGAAGTTGCAGAGTTGATCACCTACCATTCTGTCTTCACCACTAGGATGAGCTCTCCAGCACTGCCCTGGCTAGTTCCCCCTTGCAGCAATGACCAGGGGGTGGGGCCAGTTCTCCTACATTCACATGCCTGTCCTTCTTAATATATATTCAGATGCTGATGTCTGTTAGTTCCCTTGGCACTTCAGCTTTTCTCTCCAAAATAGAATACAAGAAGATATGAGTAGGAATATCACCTACTTCATCTCAGAACCTTTATACTTCTTTAAAACACATAATTGAGGGGGGCTGGGGAGATGGCTCAGTGGGTAAGACCTCTCCTGGGCAAGCATGGGAATCTGAGTGTGGATTCCCAACACACATAACAAGCTTTGCTTGGGCACGTACCACTGCTGTTGGAAGCAGGCACAGGAGGACCGCTGGAGCTTGTGGGCTAGTCTAACCAGAATATGGCATGCTCTAGGTTCAGCGAGAGCTCCTATCTCAGCCTGTAAGGCAGAAAGGGAGAGGACATCCAGTGTTCTTTGACCTCTGCACATGCCCACATACATGTCTATACCACACACACCCACACCCACACAGGAAGCATTCCTTGCCACTAGTCACCACTGACATCCTTTAGTGGCATCTGATGAACTATCTAGTAGCATTATTTGATTTTAAATCATTTGCTCTTTTTTACATGAAGATATCTGTGTTATAAAGTCTGAACTTAAAAATGAATCTCTGAGTAAATGTGAGGCTGTCACTTTTGCTCTTTGCATTAAAAAAACATGCTACATAGTTTTTCCATTTAAAAACATGCAGGCTGATTGTAGCAGAATAGTTTCAAGCAGGAACTCACAAACATGTTTGCAGAATGCACTCCAAAGTCTCTGGCCACCTTTCTAGCGTTCTCTTGCAGCTCTGCAGCTCTGCCATGGACTATATTTAGAAGCCAAAATATTTATGGACTATATTTAGAAGCCAAAATATTTCTTAACAAAGAAAAACTTCTGTCATTGCTTAACCAGACGCTCATAGTAGCAAACTTTGTCCTTAGACGAAGGTTTGCTCCTTTAGTTTTTGTTTTTATTGTGTCTCTTGCTTTTGTCTTGCATTTTAGAAGTTGAAGGCAGTGTGCTCTGGGAGTTGAGTTAATTGCAGTGAGCAGATCAATATTCAGCAATCGGGTCTTTTAAAGCCCTTTCTATCCTGAGATGTGATGATTCTATATTTACCTTTGCTCTTGCTTTTTCTCTGTCAATGGCAAGAGAGCAGAGATCTTGTCAGCACTATGCTGGAGAGAAATTGGGCCAGGGGTTTAGGAGGTGACAGGCATTGGATGGCTGTCTAGAACATGTAATTGACTACAAGGTACAATTTCTCTTGGTTCCTTGTGCTCTTTCATAGGATATAATGTGGATGCATTCCCTTAGTTGCACTTACTTTTGTAACTAGGAAGAAAGGGAAGAAAAAGACAGCATTTTTTAGAAGATACTGTCTCAAATGCCTTCCTGCAAACAGACTCCCTGGAAGTCATTGGGAAGCTGTCTACAGCTCTGAAGAAGTTTAAGGAGTTAAGGACTTTTTCATGGTCTCCTGTAAGAGTTCTCCCCCCCATCAGATAGATTAACTTAGGCATTTAATGTGTTTTTGAGCTGAAATAATCTTCTTCAGTCTGTGTCTCCAGCCCCAGATGTACTCCAGCCTGTGCTTGCTGCTGAAATTGTTTTCCCAATTGAACCCAGTACCCATTCTTGACAGAATGATGGAAAATAGATAGTACCAGGCAAAGAGTGAATTTTTGATGTTCTTTCTAGTTACTCCCAAATATTCCCTTTCAGAAAGTATAAAAATATTTTTATGTGTAGTATACTGGAACCAGAAGCACTGACTTCGTATTTCAAAGTTGGAAGAAATGAGATTGATGTCCTACACAGTTGTAAAATGACGAAAATAAGGAGAACTGAAATGAATTAAAGCCTAGTGTTGAGAAAGGCCAAGAAAAAGCTTCATATCAACAGTGACTGTAATTGAAAGGGCCCAAATAAGTATTTAAAACCTCCCCTCCTGAGACGTCTAGGATTTCTGAATTTCAAATTGACATTTTATGTTTGACAAGGTGACATTGTATAAGAAATGTATTGTAAAACACTGCTGTACGATAGGAAAATGATTGAATGTAAATATTTCAAGATGTGGACCACTGTTCAAATGTTATCATAAATCTTTGCCATTGTTTTAGGGGATAACTCTTCATGCATATGTGAGCTGGATTGATAGCTAGCTCTTGGAAAGGAAGTCATCAGCAGATTTCTGCCTTTGCCTCAAATATTAGTCTGACTTTACCACTAAAATGTCTTATTAGATTTTTTCTGTTATGTGCTTAATATTCACATTATGTAAGTGCTATTACTTTTTAAGACACTATACTAGCACTGCTTTTGTCCTTTTCAGTGTTTTGAAATGTCACTGTTACATGATTGGAACTGTCACTGATACATGGGCTGGGACAGTTTGCGTTTAAGTTTTACAAAGCAAACAGCCTGAGCTATAGCATTAACCATCCGTCTATTCTTTTCAGGTTTGGAAGGTTTACAGTTGCTGCTCTTCAGTCCAAAGTAGAACAGTACGAACGTGAAACCAATCGCCTCAAGAAAGCTCTAGAACGAAGTGATAAATATATAGAGGAACTAGAATCTCAAGTAGCACAACTGAAACATTCAGATGAGTCAAAGGAAGAGATGGACGCCCTTTGCCAGAGGGCGCCCTCTGCGGATGGCAAGGGACCCAAAGGCAGTGATGAGGTTGTGGCATCAAAGAGCCAGGGTGACAGTGCCAGGCTGCAGGCTGGCTCAGCCACCTCTACTTCAGCTTCTCACCTAACAGCACCTAGTGGCAGACAGGAGAGCACCAGCAAGACTGAACCAAACTGCCCCAAGAACAAAGACAGATACCCCAAGCCCACAGAGATGCTGCTGGGTATGCGAGAGACACCAATGGATGCTTACTTGGAAGGAGAGTGGGGCAGCAAGCCAAGTGACTGTGCACCCTACAAAGAGGAAGAGCTCTATGACCTCCCGGCTCCTTGCACTCCTTTGTCCCTGAGCTGCCTTCAGCTCAACACTCCGGAAAGCAGGGAGAGCTCCGTCATCAAAGCAGGGAGTTCCAAAAAGCATGCAAACCACCTCAGAAAACTGGTGTTTGATGATTTTTCTGATTCTTCCAATGCCTGTAATAACAATTCAGAGGATGATATAAGTCGAAGTGAAAATGAAAAGAAGTCAGACCATTTTGCTTCTACAAAGACAGGGTTTTGGGATTGTTGCTCCACAAGCTATGCCCAAAGCCTGGAGTTTGAGAGTAACGAGGGGAACACTATAGCAAACTCTGTTGGTGAAATACCTTCAAAATTGAGTGAGAGGTCAGGATCATGCTTGTCCAAGAGACTAAATTGCATTCGCTCTCTTGAAATGAACCGGACAAGAACATCCAGCGAAGCGTCCATGGATGCTGCTTATCTTGACAAAATCTCCGAGCTGGATTCCATGATGTCGGAATCAGACAACAGCAAGAGCCCTTGTAGTAACGGTTTTAAATCAGGGGAGTTAGAGGGGTCCTCAAAGTCCCCTCGAGGCAGTGAGTTTCTTGAGGAACCTGACAAGTTGGAAGAAGGAACTAAACTGAATCTGTCCAAAAATGCTCTCACTACTGATCAGTTAGAAAGCGGAAGTGAGTGGAAACCCGCTTCCTTTTTCCTCCTCTCTCCATCTGACCAGGAGATGAGTGAAGATTTTTCTCTCCATCCCGCTTCTAACTCAGGAGCCAGTGAAATCAAACCCCAGGGCTGTCTGTTTCAGACAGAGTTTTCCCAGGGTGTTCTGTTAAGCGGTTCCCATGGACTGTTTGAAGATCAGAGGTTTGGGTCCTCTTTATTTAAGATGTCTTCAGAGATGCAGAGCCTTCACAGTCACCTTCAGTCTCCCTGGTCCACCTCCTTTGTGTCTGAAAAGAGGAGTAAGAGTGTGAATCAGTCAGCGAAAAGGAAGATACAGAGCAGCCTTTCCAACGCCAGCCCGTCCAAAGCAACCAAAAGCTGAGTCAACCAGGATCCTTGTGGCTCGTCCTGAAAAGGTTGTGGATGCTTTTCATGTTACTGTAGTCACTTCATGACGGTTCTATACAATCCCGAACTGATAATCTTCAGGAAAGTGTCAAGTCAGAGAATGGGTACCCTGTCTCCAGGGTACTTCGTCTTGAAGAAACTTTGGGCTTTTCATTGATGATCTTTCTTACCAGAGAGGTTAGGGGGGAGGGTTTCATCTGTCTCTGTATTGTTTATTATTTTGTTGTAAATGAATGTTATATGTATCTGAATTGGCTGTCTGTTGTTTTCTCATATCTTATTTAACTGTTAGATATGGTGGCCTGTTAACTGTCTTTAGTTAACTTAGAAAGTTTCTTAGAACTTTCGGTATTGTCTATACCATTTTTTAAAGCTATTCCTAGAGTAGAAATGATTTTGTATGTCCTTTTTTATTTATGTTTAGTGATGGCCTAAGTTTTATGCAAGGCCATGCTGGAGAAATGGCACTCTGACCTTGGAGTATTCACTGACTTTTTCTTAGGTTTTACGTAGTTGTTTACAGCTTGTTTAATTGTGTTCTGTCGTGTGTGTGCGTGCGTGCGTGTGTGTGTGTGTGTGTGTGTGTGTGTGTGTGTGTGTGTGTGTGTGTGTGAGAGAGAGAGAGAGAGAAAGAGAGAGGGAGAGAATGCTTTTGCTAGCATGAAAGAACATTTTGTTTGTATGAAAACACTTTTTCAGGTAGTTTTTATCTGCTCATCTTTGAGAGCATGCGTGCGTGCGTGCATGCTTGTGTGTGTGTGTGTGTGTGTGTGTGTGTGTGTGTGTGTAGTTAGAAATCATTATGTATTGGAAGGCAAGCACGGATCAGTTGGGCTGGGAGGAACTTGAACATCCCAGCTTCGTTTTCCAGGTAGAAGCCTGTTAGGTATTTAGGTGTTTGATCCATTGTGTCACAGAAAGCCTTTTATGTGATAAAGTTCTTGTTTGCATGTTACTGTTAAACTGTGGGAACTGTAAGCATGGGAGCCCTTTTGCTTTTTCTCCATCGGGAGGAAAAAGAAGTTCCTACTGGCTAGTAGATTATCAGATGTGTAGGGCAGTTTTTGTTTTTCTGTTTTGTTTTGTTTTGGTTTGTGTGTGTGTGTGTGTGTGTGTGTGTGTGTGTGTGTAAAGTAACAAATGGGAATGGGAATATGATATGTAAGAGCTAAGCACAACGTTTAGTTTAGCCTTTAAAATTACATTGTTTTAAACATGTTTGTTATACCGTATAGGCTGTAAAATGAGTCTGTATGCTAATAACTTATCTAATGTGCACTGAACATTTTACATGTATTGTCTTACCTTAACACTGCATGATTTTTATGTGAATTGAATAAAGGATGCCATGTGCACTACATGTCTTTGATGTTATCTCAGCTAATGAATTAGCCTCTAAAGACCTCAAATACTATTTTCAATTCATTTTGAAGTATAGCAATTGACTTAGGTGCCTGTGTGTGTTTGCAGAGGCTGGAGCCCAGGACCCTGTGGACACCAGGCCAGTGCTGGACTTCTGAGATGCAGCTTTACCTGCACCTGTTTGTGAAAGGTCTTTGAGCAAAGCCAAGAAAACCCAAAAACAAATAAGAGTTTATAATGTTCCTACATTTTTTAATAAAAAAGTGTCCCATGCCACTAGAATATTATCTGAAATTAAAATTGTGTTTCAGAATAAAATTTTACTAGAATGAAATGTCTGCCCGCACCTGATAGAAACAGGAGAATGGAACCCTTGCAACAGTGACTGGCTGGAAAAGCCTAAAATATGTACTGTCTGCCCTTTTCCTTAAGAATTTGCTGACCCTTGTTATAATAGACTCTGAGGATTCAATGAAACCATAAAAAAATACAACAAATCACTTTTATGATCTGGAGAATCATGTTCTCCACTTTTAGAAGTAACAATAACCAAGGGGGAGAAAAGCTAACAGGGTAGTATTTGTTTTATCATACATATTTTCCAATAATTCATTTCTTTGCTGTGGTAAAACTAATGGACATTTTCAGAGCTAGTGGCAGTTTAAACATGTTTGGTGATACTATTAGTTATACATTTAGAATTCATGTAGAAGTTAAGGGGATTTTTGCCATACTATATGAGTATAGTAGTATAAATATCTCATAAATTACATATATTGAAATCTAATCCCAAGGTAATAGTAAGAGCTGGGACCATGGGAAAGTGATTATATCATAAAGGAGTGGTGTTAATGACTTTGCGAGCAATGTGGAGGGCACTTTCTTGCCTCTTCTAGACATAGCCAGTAGCTGCCATCTTTGCAGTAGAGAACAGGCCCATGTCAAACTATCTTCTGATGCCTCGGTTCTAAACTTCCTAGCCAGAAGACTCCAAGACAAGGAAATTAACCCTACAATTCCCAAAGCAAGAATGTCTATTTTTAATCCATTTGCATTCCATCATTATGCTTGTAAGTTGAAATTTGTAGCCTAGTTTACCAGTAACTAGCCTGGGGGAGTACACCCTTCTTGGGCCAGAATACTTCTCAGCTGCTTACCTTCAACAGCGTCCTCCATCCTGTCTAAAACAACATGTATTACATTTGTGTATAATTGAAGCCATTCTATTCCTCAGCTATAGGGGATAATTGTAAAGGATTTGACTTCAATCACATTCTTATCTCCCTTACTCTCAGTGTCTGATTTCATAACAGGGAGTGTCACAGATTTTCAAATGTGTGTACTATGTCCATTCCAAACAAAACACTGGGGATGCAGCATGGTGGTGGTGGTGGCGGGCCTCGCCTGGCAGGCCCAGTGGCCTGGCCTGTGTTCCATCCCTGGAACTGCATAAAGCCCATGTTCGGTGTAGCACCCTGTCAACCCCAGCAGTTGCAAGGTAAGAACGGCTCAGTGCTCAAGAACAGTAGTTGATCTTTCAGAAAATCCCTGATCAGTTCCCAGAACCCAGCCGGGGGGGGGACACGACACGGACTGACGGACACACCAAGTAGCCTCTTCTGGCCTCTGGAGGCACCAGGTTTGCATGTGGTCCACAAACACAGGCAAAGCAACCATACACATAACAGTAATCTTTTTTCTTTTTTAAGTTCAAAGCCATCCTTAACTATGTATCAAGTTAAAGGCCACCTACAGATACAGGAGACTCAACTTAAAAAGCAAACAAACAAAACAGAAAACACTTGAAGCCAAATATTTTTCTAGCCTCTATTCCACATAATACACTTTCAGAACTTGCAATTTGTGGAAAGCCAAGCAGAGTTAGTGACTTCAGGGCTGGAACGTAGGGAACCATGGCTTGGAGCTGGATGTTCAGCTGCAGAGGCGATTATCTTCCTCATTCCTTTGGTACAGAGAGAGGAGAGAGAGAGAGAGAGACAGAGAGAGATTGGAATTTCCCAATAAAGTATTCATGTGTCTGTTTGCCTGAGTCTAATCTACACTAAAGTTGCGTGCAGCATGTGTATACCACTGTTAAATTTGAAGGTTTATGTTAGGGTGTCTGGTGACACACTTGCTCAGCACACAGTGCTCTTAAGGGTTCACATTAACTGACATTTAGGAACTGGACTTTTCCCGTTGGTTCATTTCACTTAAGTTGTCTGTTGGGAAAGAGAACACTTGTCCAGATACACTGGGTATGGACAGTTTGTGTTTTTGCAGGAACAGCTTTGATTGTTACTCTCTCTAAAATGCTGTGCCTACATAGCTCTCCAAACTAGGTGTTAGGGGCTTCTTGTTATGACAGTACAGTCCTCTTGATTAAAGATCTTCATCCCATTTACAGGTTAAAAGATTTATTGAATTGGCGCGCGCGCATGCACACACACACACACACACACACACTCACTCACACTGAAAGTAGAGGGCTAATCTTCACAGCCCCTTGGTTTCTAATCTGCATTGCTGTCCTCGGCTGGAAATGAAGGCACAGACCTTGGTTTTGGGCTGTGTAATGCTTCAGGACCATATTGTTCCTGCAGACCTGATGATTTCTAGTTATTAAAAATGTAGCACATACAGGGCATTTTCTCCCTCGTTCAGTACCTGTAGATGGTATGTGCAGAGAGTCTCAAATCGAAATTAACAGTTCACGGTGTGCAGCCTGTTATACTAGAAGAGTTTCCCAAGGCCTCACAGAAGGTCTTCCATTCCTGTCTGTGGGAGTCCTACAAAGCAACCCTTGCCTATCGCTGTGTAACCCGATCCCCTTAATAATACTTGGCAGAGAGAAAACCTTTTAAGCAATGATCTCAGAGTGCAGAGTGAACATTTATTGCCTAATTCTCGGAACCCTACTCACGGCGAGGAAGCGTCTATTAAGGCTCAGAGTTCAGAATCCATCTGGAGCACAGCTAGGGTGAGCTCAGTCTGGCGTGGCTGTGGCAGTCTAGAACACTTTTGAGTTGCAGTGCCTTTTTTTCAGATAGGGTCTTGGGTCTTGTGATAGAGAGCAGCAGGCTGTCTCTAATAAAGCTCCCTTGGCTTGAACTTGTGTATAGAGCTCAGGGCTTTTTGTGTTAGGGTACAAAGACCCATTCCCCAAAGGACAAAGATTTGCCTCGGGCATTTACCCGAGGAGAAAGGGAAAAAGGGTGGGATTTGGTCCTATTTGATTCTTACAATATAGGTGGGCGGTGAGGACGTTTGGAACCTTCACAGAGGTGTTTTCCCCTCAGACTCTTGAAGGGTAAATAAGAGTTCGTTGCAGAAGAGGACCTCTCTTCTGCTTGTCTGTAGGGGAAATGTCTTTTAGCAGCCTTCTTGGAAGTGGCACTGAAGCCAAGGCTCCTAACGACAAAGGGTTTCCGGTATTGCTCCAGCCACAGCTTTCAAGTAGAGCTTTGCTCCTCCTCTTCAGAGTCCCCCTGAGACTCTGGGTCTCGCTCCAGCCGCCTCAACCGGCGGCCTGGTGACGAGACATCGGTTCCCTAGGCGCAGGAAGGCTTTGGGGATGGCGGGGCGCGCTATCTACTGTCCATTAAGCTGAGGCTTGGCCCTCTGAGGGCTTGGAGGTCATCGGAGTGTTTAGGGTGAGGAGGTGGAGTCTGGCCCAGTAGCAGCAGCTCAGTCCCTTTCCCCATCACTCATCCCTAGGAACTCAGCCACGTGGGATTTCTGCCAGCTTCCCCTCTGCCCGAGCCCTCCCCTTCCCAGAGGACCCACCATCGGATCCCTCCAGCCCAAGTTTCCTGCACTCTTGAGGGCGCTCTTAGCTGGTCCTTCCCAGGCCTCATTGCACAAGCCGGTTCTGTGGTTTCCTTTCATTTTATTATCACTCGAAACCTGGCGATTAAGACGCGAAACCAACAAAGAGTTTTCTTTCCACCTTAACCTTGCACACAATCCTTTAACAAATTAATTAATCCTAATGAATTAACACTTCATTTATTTAAACGCGCTACAGTCCATGAATTAAATTTTCATGCAGTGATTAAAGGCTGTTAAAATATGCATGATTTCGTTAAAATTTTATAATAAATCAGGGCAATGTGTTACATGACAAGGCAACTATTTCCCAGTCCCTCGCAAGGGGCTTTGATTTGTGCGGGCGGCAGGAAGGAGGGGCGGCTGGCGGCAGCTCGGCGAGCGCTGGAGCCGGGCGGCAGGACCCAGCTCTGCACTCCGGGCTTGGACTAGCTGCCTCGCGGTTTCCTCCAAGGCTTCCAGACCCCGAGGGATCCAGCTTCTGGAGGCCGAGGGGAGCCAGCGGAGGTCGGCGAGTGCGCCCTTCTCCATCCTCAGAATGTCCCTTGGACGGAACTGCTGGTCCTCGCCTGGCCGGTAGCGCCCCGAAAGCAGAGGGAGTGGTGTGTCTGAGACCCGGCCGGTCAGTGGCTGTCTGACACAGGAAGGCAGCAGAACTTGCATCGCTTCGCCAGGGGTCAAGGGCCAGCATACCTGAGGATGAGTTTGTTTGTCGTTGTTATTTTAACCCGGGGACCGGGATGCTGCTTCCCTGCAGGGCGCAGACAGTGGGAGCCTCTGTTCTTCAGGGCCCTAAATCACAGGGCCCGGTGGCCTTGCTAACCGGACAGCAGTGATTATATGGCCTGCAAAAGTAACATTGTCGACCGACAGACAGGCAGGGAAGCCAAGAACCTGTGAGGGGTGTTCCCTTGGGTCGAAATCTCGGGAGGGTTTCCTAAGGTAGGTGAGTTTGATTAGAGATTAGGGTAGAAATGGTGGAAAATCTGTATGTAATGTATCCACCGCTGAGCGCAGAGTGACCTGTAATGAACATACTTGGAACGCCCAATCCTGCTCTCAAGGTCATCTTTGGATGGGATGGTCACATTCAGTAAGATGCCCCCAAATGAAGTTGCATTTCTGGGAAAAAGGGAGAGGGCCGGTAGGAGAGAGAGAAAAATCATGGCCTTCCCACTGCTTCACTGTTTTGCTTGAGAACGCCCACCTTGGTCCTATCTCCCACCATTCTGAGTGCGGATTGAGGAGTCTTGGAAAAGGACCCGGATGGACCCAATGCCTCCCAGGCCTGGACCTAGCAGACCAAGGGAAGCCGCGGGTGTGAGGGGTGAGGGCAGAGAGCAAGGACAGTGACTTCCGCAAATGCACCTGGTTGTCCTTGCTTGGGGGTCCAGCTCAGAGGTGCACTAGACCCGGTGGCCCAGACAGGATAGGGTTACAGTTCAGCAACAGTCGGGGCACGCGGGGGGGGGGGGTGTCCAGAGTCCCAGGACACCAGAGAAGGTCCTTGGCCCTGGACAGGACAGGCAAGAAGTGAACACCTTGGCGAGGGGTGTACCTGGCTGAGATGCTCAGGGAGGGAGTCATAAGAGGTCAGGTACCTCCCCGGGAAGGCTGTCCTGAGACAAAGCCAATGCTTCCCCCACTGTAGTGTTGGAGTGCGGAGGCAGGGGACTATCAAAGTGCATCCTCCACTAGGACACCTCAAGCTCTACCTCAAGCTTGCATCTTCTCCATCCGGCCCTTTGCACTGGGATGAATGGCCTTTGAAGTTAGTGCCCCGGGGCCTTTGAGCTGCCCGTGAAGGCTGTGCTCACCTGGAAAGGTGCCTCATTTTAAACTAGACAGTGCCTGCAGACACATGACTCCCAGGGTCTGGGGAGCACCGCCTGCCTGGCCTGTGCTTCCGTGTGTCCCTCCAACCACACCTGCCACATGTGGTGCCACAAATACCCTCTTCCTGTGGCTTTGCCATGTTCACAGACGCTCACCTCCTGGAGAACAGCCATGGAGTCGGAGGCTATACTGGAAACTCAATTTCCAGTGTCCTATTGGGAGGAAAAAAGCTAGCGCGCAGATGGGCGCAGCGGCCAGGCACATCCTCCTGGGTGAAGGATGGAGCCAAGAGGAGGAGAGGTCTTTCCCAGACTGAGCAGGCCCATGTTCCTCTTGGTCCTCACTCCAACTAACCAGTGTACTGTCTAGTTCCGTGCAGGGGTGCTGCCAAAGGAACTATAGAGCCAGGCTGCCAAAGGAGGAGGAGAAAATTAATTAATGAGGGAAAGAAATGTGTCTCTGATCCAGATGATAGACTCCCTGTCCCCGGGGACAGAAATTCCTTGGAAATCAATAACTGTGCATTCATTACCCTTCTCTTGATAAAACGCAAAGCTATGAGATGGTGGTAATCTGCGTTGGTCATTAAACAAGAAGGAAGGGGAAAATGCCCCAGAATCCATGCCAACATGCAGACCCCATGTGGGCACCATTAACACAGGCAGGGGCCAACTAGGTACAGCAGTTGCCAAGTCAGGTACACAAAGCAGTGATGTGGGAAGGCAGAGCCTCGGCCCTGTCACTGTTTCCTTTCACCCTCTACAAGGAAGAGTCCCAAGGTAGCTGAGGGTGCGGGTGCGCAGGCTTGGGCAGGATGGCCGGCTCTCCAAGCATCTTTGTGTATTTCTGTGTATCAGTCTCTCATCACCAATCCTGCATCTATAGCACATATGCTCTCTTCCTGTTGCTTCCCAATGCTCGCAGACCATAAACACCTAGAGACCACACACTCATAAATTACAGCTCCTTTGATCTCCAGTGTCTGGTACCGGCTCTAGGTCAGGGCTCAGCAAATGTTTAAGGAAGGAAGACAAGAAGGTGGCCCAGGGGACTGTGAAAAGAACAGTCAGGGTGCACCTGCCTAGGGCAAGCACACCCTGTTCCAGGCTCTACCTTCTGAAGGAGACCCCTTCTCAGATCTCACAATACCCAATCAGTCTTGGCTTGTTGGAACACTTTGTTCCTGCCTTTTTCTCTTGTCCCTGGCCCCTTCTCTCTATCTTTTTTTTAAAGAAAAAGTATTATTTGATACATCTCTGTTACCAGTGTCCTGGTGGAAACAAACGAGGCACGGATGACCTTTGGATTGGACCCACAGTCCCTGTATTTCTAGTTGCAGCAAAAAAGACAGGGTAGAAGTCTGGCCTTACTCGGAGAAAGAAGAGTACCCCAGTTGCCAAAGAGAGGTGAGTTAGGAAGGGAGTCTTGGCAGGGTTGGCCCCTGACTTCAGGACATTACTTATCCCAGTTGGGTCAGAAGGTTGAGCTGAGGTTTGCTTGGGGTATGTAAGGACACCATGCCCTCCAGCCCCCCCCCTCCCGATGCCTCCATCTGGCCACAAACCTACCCTGTTTGCCTTGCAGTCTGTCCTGCATCATTTAAGGTCCCTAGAGGCGAGCATCCTCCCCTCCAACCCCCCCCCGCACCAGACCTGGGAGTCCAGACTGTTGGAGCTTGCTACTAAGATGTTGGGTGGGGATTCTTGTCATACACCCCACAAGAGAACTCAAGGACCCACTGCAGTGGGGTGTCAGAAAGGATTAGGTTAAGCCCAACACCCAGTGGGACAGGGACTAGGACTCACTCTTTCCCTCCAGCGATGTCCCGCTCCTGCTCCATTCCCGCTGAGATAAAGTTGCATTTAGTGCTCCCAGGGGAATCACCTAATGGAGGAAAGAAGTGGCTCCTTCTTGCACCAGCAAATGAGCATCCTTCTCACTTCCCTCTCAGGCTAGAAGAAAGGGAGGGGGCGGGAGGACTGAAAGGAAAGGAAAGAAAGAAAAAGCCAATGACGCCTGTGGGCTCTTCTTGCAATCTGAATAACCGAGTGGGTATCCTGAAGACACACGCACTTTAAAGCAAAGGAAAATAAAATCTGCCGGACTGCAGATTTGGGTTTGCGGAAGCGAGATCTGCCCTTTGGTGAAAACACAGACCTCCTTGGTGTGTGAGTGACCTGAAAGATTATTTATCTGATCTCTGCTTCCCAGCAGTTCTTGCCTCTCTGGGGCTTTCTCACTAACAGATGTGATAACATCTGGACCGTTATTATCACCCTAGGCAAGAACTATGTCCTTAGGGACTTAGGCACCCGAGCTGAGCCTCCCTTGAGAGGTCCTTGATCTTCCTGCTACATGAGAGTAATATAACAGGTTGGTTAATTGATTTCTTCTTAGGTCTGTTTTCACATTATTATTATTATTATTATTATTAAGGGCTGGACCAGACAGGTACCAGTTCCTTCAGTCTGATTTGAATTAATATTTTGAATCACAATCTCCTGCACGTTAGCTTCATCCTGTATCCTGGGGAAGAAAAACGATATATAAGCAAGCACATAGAAAAAAACACCAGGGGACAAAACACTGCAAAAGAAAGTTCTCTTATCAGCATTATACTCTTTTTTTCTGAAGCGGCTTTCTTTTCCTGGAGTTTCCAGTAAAAAAAAAAAAAGTGTGTGTGTGTGTGTGTGTGTGTGTGTGTGTGTGTGGTGTATGTGTGTGTCACAGAGAGGAAAAGATTCCCGGCTACACCCTGTTAACTATTTTTCCCTTTTGATGACTAGAAGCCTCAGATCACCTAGCACTTCTTTGAAAAGTGAGTTTGTACACGGTTAAAGGAGACAAACAATAAGAGAAATGCACAAATTCATTTCAACAGCCTTCCCTGAGTAGAAAGCACATGCTCCTTGTGGCTCCTAAGTGACTGTCACCGGTGGTGCCTGACGCAGTTATACTCACAACAACAACAAAGTATGCAGAGAAATTAAATTACGTGGGAATCAATAGCGTCTGACTGCTTCAAACAACTGTCTGTCACGGCTATTATTCTCCAAGAGCCTATTTATAAACCATGAAAGAAACAGGTTCCTGCAGCATAAAGACAGCATCTTCCACATCGCATTTCTGTGTTGTTATTTTTCTCCATATACAGAGGAATGCACGGGCATAATTTAGCAGACAAATGCCTTTCTGTGTACATTATATAACAGCTTGTTAGGCACCCAGTAGTGGAGGTGTGCCTAAATAAGGCGCATGTCCTGTGGGTATGCGACAGGGCAGGAGGAAAACACACAGAGCAGAGTGCCAGCATCCCCTGTCTTCCTCCAAAAGATGCCTACCCTTAGACAATAGCTGGCCTTTCTGATCTTTGCAGACCCCCGGTGGAAAGGTGAGGCGTGCAGTGCGCATGCCTGGCCAGCCACAGGTGCATCACCTGCCTTGTCCTTGCTGGTGGTCACTATAAGAGCAGCTCCCACGCGCTCGCGGCCGGTCGCTGCTCGACGAGCGAGTGAGCGAGCGAGCCAGCGAGCGCGCGCGCACTCGCCCAAGCACGGCGCCGCGGCCAGGGAGGGAGAACGCGCGCCAGACAGCCAGAGGAGACAGCTGATGCCTGTCAGCGCGGCGGGGCCGCGAGCTCTCGCGAGAGCTCCCCGGGCCGGCCGCGAGAAGTGGGGTTCAGGTGTAAGAGGAGTGCAGCCCGTCGGCGCGCTGGGCTAGAGCTCTTGGAGAAGCGGGATCGCGAGACCTGCGCGCGGGCGCTCTGCGCGGTCGGCTCGGAGGCTGCGAGCCGCGGGAGCAGCATCAGCACCAGCCGTAGCAGCAGCATCCACAGCATCCGCAGCAGCAGCATCCGCAGCAGCAGCAGCATCCCTGCGGCGAGGCCAGTGCGAGCCGCCCCGGGCCGCAGCCTCCTCGGAAGGGAGAGCGGGCGAGCCGGCGGCGTGCGCACTTTGCGGCGGACTTTTGCGAGTGTTTGTGGATATTTCCATGCCAAGCCGTCAAGATGATGTCCATGAACAGCAAGCAGCCTCACTTTGCCATGCATCCCACCCTCCCTGAGCACAAGTACCCGTCGCTGCACTCCAGCTCCGAGGCCATTCGGCGGGCCTGTCTGCCCACGCCGCCGGTAAGCGCCCCCCACGCCCGCGGCCCCGGCCCGCGCGCACGCCCCCTCCCTCGCTCCGAGGGGCTGCATGCCGGGGGGCTGCCGCGTGCCGCCCCGGGTCCCGCTTCGGCGGGCGGGAGTTTGTGGAGGGATCCCGCTGCGAGGCACGTGTGTGTGCCCAGGGGCGCCCGAGGTCGTGTTCCGACTGTCTGTGCCTCTGTCCAGCGCCCGCCGTCAGTGGGCAGCCCTGGGGCCGCGACTCTCGACTTTGCTCCACTTTGTCTGTTAATTTCACGCCGGGACAAGGCGATCTCTGTGCTCGCTCGGGTGTGTGACACGGGTCCTTAGCTTCGAGTTACATCTCCATTTCTTCTTTTTCTTCTTTTCTTCCATTTTTTCCGTCTCCCGTTCCCTTCCCCGGAATGTATTCCCGTGTCCCCTTCTACCCTTCTCCTCCCTTTACCGCTTCCCCGTCCCTTCCCTTGTGTTTTCCTGCTCGGTCCCCCATCTCCTCCGTTCTTCCCACACCCCCGTGGTTGTTATTTTGGTCGGTCGCATTGTGGTTGTTATTTTGCCCGTGCTTTTCCGGCTTGTGTGTGTGTGTTTTTGTTTTGTTTTGTTGCGTGTATGTGTGTGTGTTCCCCTCTTTCTTTTCGTTTTGGTTTGGTTTGTGTCGCCTGCAGCTGCAGAGCAACCTCTTCGCCAGCCTGGACGAGACGCTGCTGGCGCGGGCCGAGGCGCTGGCGGCCGTGGACATCGCGGTGTCCCAGGGCAAGAGCCACCCTTTCAAGCCGGACGCCACGTACCACACGATGAACAGCGTGCCATGCACGTCCACGTCCACCGTGCCGCTGGCGCACCACCACCACCACCACCACCACCACCAGGCGCTCGAGCCCGGCGATCTGCTGGACCACATCTCCTCGCCTTCGCTCGCGCTCATGGCCGGTGCGGGTGGCGCGGGCGCGGCGGGCGGCGGCGCCGGCGCCCACGACGGCCCGGGGGGCGGCGGCGGCCCGGGGGGCGGCGGCGGCCCGGGCGGCGGCGGCCCCGGGGGCGGCGGCGGCGGCGGCGGCCCGGGCGGCGGCGGCGGCCCGGGCGGCGGGCTCTTGGGCGGCTCGGCGCATCCGCACCCGCACATGCACGGCCTGGGCCACCTGTCGCACCCGGCGGCCGCGGCCGCCATGAACATGCCGTCCGGGCTGCCGCACCCCGGGCTGGTGGCCGCGGCCGCTCACCACGGCGCGGCGGCGGCGGCGGCGGCGGCGGCGGCCGGGCAGGTGGCGGCCGCGTCGGCGGCGGCGGCGGTGGTGGGCGCGGCGGGCCTGGCGTCCATCTGCGACTCGGACACGGACCCGCGCGAGCTCGAGGCGTTCGCCGAGCGCTTCAAGCAGCGGCGCATCAAGCTGGGTGTGACGCAGGCCGACGTGGGCTCGGCGCTGGCCAACCTCAAGATCCCGGGCGTGGGCTCGCTCAGCCAGAGCACCATCTGCAGGTTCGAGTCGCTCACGCTCTCGCACAACAACATGATCGCGCTCAAGCCCATCCTGCAGGCGTGGCTGGAGGAGGCCGAGGGCGCGCAGCGTGAGAAAATGAACAAGCCCGAGCTCTTCAACGGCGGCGAGAAGAAGCGCAAGCGGACTTCCATCGCTGCCCCGGAGAAGCGCTCCCTCGAGGCCTACTTTGCCGTACAACCCCGGCCCTCGTCGGAGAAGATCGCCGCCATCGCCGAGAAACTGGACCTCAAAAAGAACGTGGTGCGGGTGTGGTTTTGCAACCAGAGACAGAAGCAGAAGCGGATGAAATTCTCTGCCACTTACTGAGGAGGGTGTGAGGGGCCGGGTGGGGCAGACTGGGGAGCTGAGGGGTGCGTTTCTTCTCTGGCCTACTCCCCCTCACTTAGAGTGTCCGTTATCTTGCCTGCATTTGGGGAGCCCCTTCCTCCCCCTCTCCTCAGCCCCACTCTGCACCCTGCCCCAAGCATCCCCCAGCCCAGAGGACAGGGGTGTTGGATGTGGAGAGAGCATGGGATGTCAGGAGACAGCTGGGGGGTGTTTGGTTGAGCAGGACATAGGGGAGGGAAGAAAAGCAAGGACTAGAGATGGGTTTGGAGGAGCAGGATGGTTCTGGGGACTAGGGTGGGGGGAGCGATGAGGGAGGAACTCGGGATGGACCGTTGTCTTGACCAGAGACACTTATCAAAATCACCTGGGGACCAAGGAACTGTGTACAAAGACAAAACTACCAATCACCACCAAAAACAAAACACAGAACTCCAGACTAATAAAGAAGAGGGAAAAAGACAAAGAAAGATGCGTTAGAGTTGAAGTCGGGGAGCAGTATTCTGCAGCTCCATTTACCCCAAAGGAAGAGCAATGCCATCTCTGCCACTGCCCCAACTCCACACACAGGGAGTCACAGATGGAAACCAAACTGGAGCATGGAATTCTAGATAGGAAGCTAGTTGTTCTGTGTTTAATTTTCCCTTCGAAAACTTACACCCACCCACCCATGCCCTATTGGATTTATTTCCTTTTCCAAAGAGATTCCAAGGCTTTGCTCCAGCTCAGGAAGGCGCTGCTGGGGCTCTGTTCAAAGGGCTTGGGAGGCCGGCTGGTTGTTTAAACTGAACCTTCTTTTTTCCAGGAGCCCGATGGCCAAAGTCCTTGGCCTGGTCTTGGTCAGGTGAGGGTCTTTAGGCAATGAGAGTCGAAAAGACAGAAATTAAGGTGTCTGAAATAAATGTTTATTCTGGGATAATTACATGATAATAACAACCACAGTATAGTTTCTCTTTTTCGTTTTCGTTCATGTATCCATGAACAGATTATCTGAAAATATTTTTTCCCTGTCAACCCCAGTCACAGAACTTTCCCTTAGCTGGCCCTTGGTCTTTCCGTTCAGATCCCAGCTATCTGCCGACCCCCATTGCTATCAATTTTAATGGAGAGACAGGGGTGAAACACCCCAGGACAGCACCTCCCTCCCCTTTCCAGTTGTCTCCACTGAGCAAGACTCATCTGACTCTCCTAGGTCCCCTCTCTTCCTCTCTTGGAGAAGACGAGTTGTTGAAAAGCTCAGAAGTCTCTGCTCTCATTTGGGGGCAGAAGCTGGCTGTAAGAAAAATCACCTAAAACCCTGGAAGCGAGGAAGACATTTAAAGACCCCAGGCTCTCCCCTCCCTCACCCTGTTTGTTTCAAATAGGCCTGCAGTTCCCCGGGGAGAGCAGAGCGCTTGTTTCCTTGTTGTCCTTGTTGTTATTCCCCGGGATCATTTTTACTGGGGATAAATGTTGAGGCGGAAAACACTTTAATTTGCACTATGAATTTCCAAACTAGAAAATCACGTATGGTATTTCATACTAACAACCCAAACTGCTGATAGATTTAAAAAAGAAAAATTAAGAAAGAAGGTGGTTCGGTGAAATGCCTGCTTTGTGTACAACGTACTATTTGGATCTCACATGGAGATGGTTTGTGACTATCCATTTAACTAACTCAAGGTGAAAACAGAACAGACAGGGGGGGGAACACTACCGTTTAACAAGACTGAAATCATGCATGATTTGAAAGGTGCAGAGAGAAATACGGTTAGGTCTCACTCTGGTTAGGTGTTGTTTTAATTATCTTGTGTATCATTGTTTGCAGCACAAACATTCTATGCATTTGAAACTGAGCACTCAACTGGGCTAGCTTTCTGGTAGGCCGTTTTGTGGATAGTGTGATTTCACAGTCTACTGCCTGTTTCCACTGAAAACACAGCATTATTGTAAATATTTTCTTTCGCGCACAGGCTCACACAGTGGTTACAAACTGCCAGTGTTACTCCTGCAATGTCTCACTGACTGGTCCTCCTGTCCATGTTGTGTCTGCAGAGCTTTCTCCTTGGTTGTGTCTTTGCTCTATCGCCCACCCCCCCTTTCTATCAGAACCATTTCTGTGCGCCAACATACAACAGGGAGATGCGTCCCAGTACACTTACAAATAAAACATAACTGAAAGAAGAGCAGTTTTATGATTCGGGTGCATTTTTGTGTTTACACTGAGCCAAGTCCTGGTAGAGCTGTTCAACAAATGAGACAAGACAAGCAAAAGCACCAAGCCAAACAAACAGACGGAAACCTTAAACCAAAACAAATTCAAAACAAACAAGAAGGGGCAGAAAGATACATCAAAAGAAGGATGAGATAGAGCTTTTGCTTTTCTTTTTTTGTTTTTTCAGAAGTAACTTTCAGAAAACTGGTGCTCCGAGCGAGATGATTACTTGCCCATTTTCATCAGTGCTTTAATTTTAATTACAGAAACTCTTAATCCACAGCCCTCCATGTGGAGTGATGGTGGCAAGCTATGAGTAGCCAGGCACCTGAAGGGCATTTAGGCTGAAGGTCAGGGACACAGGTTTCTGGGGGGATGAATGTACTGCTCTACAAACACTTCTAAAAATGTTGTCATTAAATGGCTTTTCGTTGGCAGTTAGTAAATTTTAAAATTATTCTTTGGTTTGTCCAGATACCTTGTCAAATGCTTCTCTTCACTTAGAGATTCTGCATTCCACCCGTTGCTCTAGACTGAGAAGAGATTCTCTCTTTTTGGTGACCTGGGACTCGATCAAATGCCAAATGTACAAACTTTCTTAGTAGCTGGGACTACATCCTCTGAAGTCATCCTATTTTAGCTAAATCTTTTTAATTTCACCGGCATATCTGTGAAAGAAAAGTGGTGTTCAGCAGAGAATAGTACATTTTAAAAAGGTGTGATTTAAAAACAGTTGTTAATATTTTAAAAAGCACTAGAGGTATTTTTAAAAATAGATCTCTTCCATCAAAATTGATTTGTTTCTGTTATTGACTTGAAGTATCATCAGAGTTTCTAATAAAATACATTTGTAAAAGAACACATTATTTTATAGAAAAGTATGACCAGATTTCATTGTTGGAGATCCAGGAATGAACAAATAAAAAGATTTACAAAGGTTGTTTTTCTAATAATCTGCTCAAACAGAAATGTTGCAGGCAAATACATTTGTATTATAAAATAATGGATAATGTATGTATTAAGAATTTAAGCATTTGTTTTGTATTAAGTAAATCCTTGCCCAGTACAAAAAAGAAAGAATATTATGTTAATAAAACATCATGAAAACGCATTGCTTTGCAGGGTTTCCTATTTTATGTAGTAGGAAACTGTGCAAAACAAAACAAAAGTTTTGCTTTCTGGTGAGTGGATGTGTACAAGGCAAGAAGGAATGATAAGAAGGAATCTTCTGTGTCTTCTTTTACTGTCAGCTCAGTTTAAAACAAAACTCCTGAAGAGATGGCAAAGTGCTGATCTGCGGTGGTTTTGGTTTTCAAAGTTCGCTGGTTCCGAAAGTCGGGAAATCCACACTAAGGGGATTTCCTCCTGCATCTGCTAGTGGGTGGAAATAAAATGTGTGTTGCTGAACTCCTCTAAAGAATACAAGTTTCAAAGTGGAGGATTCTGTTTTAGATTCTTAAGACACACAGCAGCACAACAAGAAAGGGAAAGAGAGAAATAGGCATTAAGTGCACCTGCCACGGTAAAGCTGTCTTCCTCTTAAATTGCTTTCTGAACTCTTCTGTAGGTCTAAGAAAGGATGCCTTCAGCATCCATCAACTAACTTCTGAATAGATTTGTGTCTAATGCGTGTTCTGAAATCACTCTCAATTATAAGCTTGTTAAATAAACCGTAGGCACCCCACTGCCGTGATTGTATCGGTTTTTACTTTCTTGCGATAAGATTGTGTGGGTCCAGGTCTTACACTTGGTCTTGCAGAAGAAGGACCACAGCAAGACTCTGATGTTAAGTCCCAGCCCCAGGCTCAGATTCACCTTTGGTGTCCCTGGGCCTCTCCACTTGAGTGTCACCTGCCCAAACACCCCTATTCCATCCTGCAAGTGGGTGGGCTTTCCTTATTTAGTGCTTCCAGTATAAACAAGCAGGTGCCTCCGACAGGCTACAACCACTGTTCTCAACCTTATTCTAAGGGTCTTGATGGCCAGAGGGGAGGTGACGACCACAATTATACTGGATAATGTTCTGCCATCACGATCACCAGTCTTAGTCACACCAGAAAAGCCACACAATCCTTGTGGGCTGTTTCAAAGGAGGCCACCAGCTTAATTGATTAAAAAAAAAAAGCAGCTGAAATCAAGTTCTCGCGGGGGGCCTCTTTTTCACCTGTGAGATAAGCCTTGTCGCAATAATTACATTATTTAATATTTGATCAAACCTTCGCGCCTCTGCGATTTCAGGCGCGCAACACGGGCAGTCCAGCTGGGCGCGTGCGACGCGGACGCGCGGCCACCCCACTCTGGTTGGCTTGGCCTCTGAATAATTCATGGCTTGAGAGTTCTGGAAATTAATAAAATGAATGATAACAAGAAGCTAATTAAAAACTTTCTTAATTGTTGTCAAGTCAGCTTGATGGGGGAACAGCCTTGGGTGACTCCATCCATGCAAACCGGCGGGTTGCAGAGGGTGGCGCTGGCCGTCCGAGCGCTCCTCCAACTCCTCGTGACTGCAGCCTGCCTTTCGAGGCCCACCCGCCTAACTTTTCACTGCAGGGAAGGGAGGTGCTGTTCCAAACCAGAGTAAGTGGGTCACATTTGCAGCTAACAGGGGCCCGGCTACCCGCCACCACCCGTGCGAGCTTCTTACATTCCCCTTGCAACAGCCACCGACGCGGGGGGTCCCCAGAGTCACCAAATGCGCGGCTCCTGCGTCTGTGGCCAAGTGACCCTAGTGGGCACTAACTGTGTGCTTGCCTCCACCCGCCAGCCCAGAGGCCCCTGGCCCCCAGGATTCCAGCTGCCTTGAAACGACCTCCGAACAGCTAGCACTCCCCCGGTCCGGGTCAGCATTCAGCCAGACCCCGCAGGACGCGAGTGGGTTAAGAGCCCAAGGCCAAGGCAACCCGCGCGCGTGCGCACAGGTGGCCACCGAGTGTGAGTGTTGGCTGCGGCGGGGGCGAGTCCGGGCGGACTCTGAGCGCGTGCAGCGCGGCGGGGGGGGGGGGGAGGGAGGGAGCTGAGTACGCACATGCGCACTGAACGCGCCCAGGACCCCTGGGGGAGTCAGCTGCGGTTCCGGTTTTCAAAATTAGGCGCTGTCAGAGGTCGGGTCGTTCTCCTAAGTGCCTTTGGGGATGGTCTGAGTGAAACGGGAGAAGACTCAGATCTCATGTTGGTTAAAAATACTCTCCCGACATCCCAAGTTGCCTAAGTCAAAAGTCAAAGGATGCAGAAGTTTCAAAATTGGTTTTGCGTGGGTTTTGTTTGTATTGTTGTTGCTGTTATTTTAAAACAATTGGATGACTACGACCTGACCTCGGTTTCTATTCTGTTGCCAAGACGCAACTTGACCAATGACCTGCTTTGGGGGCGTATTATTAGACTAGGGGAAATTTATACCTGGGCGGAAGGATTGGTCTGTTAAGGCTTTCGACCTGCGGAATTCGGTGAAATCTTAAATCAAAGCGGACCATCTTAGGTCTGAGAGAAGCCCGCCCGCAAAGTCCTGGCTTTCTCCCTCGGATCCCCGGGGAAGTGCGCCCCAGCCTGTCTCCCTAGGAGGTGGCTCCCGGGAAACCATGGGGAACGGGAGGACTGGCGGAAGGGCGGAAGGAGAGCTGAAGGGACTGGCGGAGTTGCAAAAGGAGGGATGGAGAAGAGACTGAGCATTTGCCGAGTAAAACGAATTACATGCGAAAGTTTGTTTAATAACTCCGACGCCTAGCCTCAGCACAGCACAACGTATACAAACTTCCAGAGACGTGAATCAGAATCAAACAAAACGTTGACAATTTCCAGCCGCGGAAACTCACATGCACAGGTCTCTTCTCCCCCTCCCGCCCCTGCCAAGTGTTGACAATAAACATTTAATGAAGGCAGAGACCTGGCCGTCTCCAGACAGTGTAGGAATACTTTAAGCAGACCATTAGCACGGCTTCTTCTACTTCAAACATCGCACGGCACACCCCTACATTATTAAAAAAAATTACAACGTGTGAGATAAATAATCCGTCCATAAGGCTATCTTAAGTGGGCTGCAGAAGTTCTGATGCCCCTGTATTTAGTAACAGAAACTAACTCATTGTAGATTACTCGCGCTTAAAAAATGTTAAATACAGTTAATGCAATATTAATCGCCCTTTGGTGATATAAAATGCAATATTTTCAGGCAGCTATTGAGCTTTTCCAGTGGAAGAGCTGATGAAAAGAGTCACAGCTGAATAGTGGAGAGAAAAAGCCTGGTATTTATTGCTTTTGTTTGGCTTTTGGCTACAGAGACAGGAACCTTCTAATGGGGTAAGGACATTTATTTTATCTGCAATCTATTGCTGAGAGAGCAGGGGCGGCAGATGGGGCTGGTGCGGTATTCACAGTGTAATTTAGAGCAAATCCTAATAACTAATAATGATTTATGTTAATTTTGATCATCTATGCGACTTTACCAAATCCTTGTGATGAAAGAAAGAAAAGGGAAGAGAAGCTAAGTGTGAAGAGGGCTCTGAGGCTCGTTGCTTTGGGAGCTGGTGTGTTCTGGGCTGCAGAATCTTAGTCTGCATTCTGTTTTAGCAATGGTATTCGTAAAGGCAGGTAGGGTTGTCTTTCTTCTCAGAGCTACTTAGAATGTAAAGCCTTGAGCGGCAGGGCGCTTTTCATCCCAGTTTTAAACAAAACAGATATGTTTCAGTTGCTTTGTTCGCCTGTATTAAACTAAAGAATCTCATGTAGGGGCGCGGGGGAGGTCTTGGGACTGGAGAAAGCGGGGAGCAACTAACTGTATGCTAAGCTAGAGCCTTTCCAAAGAGTAATCTTAGTGGCTAGGCTGAAGTGAGTTTAAGCGCGGCCAGCAGACGTGAGCGCACACAGCCAACCTTCATGCAGAAGTTCTGTTACTGGGTCTTTGAACTCACCGACAATTCCTGATCCTTACCTTGTATCTGACACTTGTTTGCCAACACCAACTTGGGGAAAGCATTTCGGCCTTTACCACCCTTCTCTACTTTCCTCCCAGAATTTCCCAGGCTTTTAAACGAAATCCCCAGGCTTTTAAACGTGTCTCTTCTCTCTTGACTCCCTTGGTAGAGTGGCACCGGAACAAAACCCCAGGGGCTGTCAGTAGAAACCAGGTTCTGCATTGAAACGGGACAGTTTTAGGCTACCATCCCAGCAATTTTGAAAGGGAGGGCGCGCCTTGCTCCTGGCAATTTACTTTCTCGGTTACCTTTTGTGGGTTTTAACGCCTCGGGGCTATAGTTTGAAAGTAAAACAGCATCAAAGCTTTGCCTTATTAGCTCTGTGTTTGAGAAATCCAGAGATGAAAACTACCTAAAAGGTTTAATAGGGCGGAACAGTATTTATTTGCCAAGCAAACAGCAAGAACGCAGTTCAAACGGGGTGCAGTGCTCCTCAGCAGGAGGCTGGGAGGGCAGGAGTGTGGGCAAAGCGAATTCCTAGTCTCAGTTTGGACGTTAAAGTGAATCAAATAAGCTCGGAATGAGATGATTCCTTTGATTTCTAGTGTTATCTCCCTTACCCAAAATTTATATATCCGAACGTATACTCTTAGCTCTTAGGCTCGTTCCATCTTCTCGAGTTGTTGTCTAGACTTTCAGGTAGCAAACTTTGAGATTTTTCTCAGGAAGACTGGCCACCTCTCTAAGGATTTGATTTACAATATATTTAAGATAGGAATACACCCTTTGAAGTTTTCTTTTCATTACTTTTCTTCCTATTTTTCTTTTTAAGGGTTGCTGCATTCGATTTCTTCTACTAGGGAAAAAATATCAACCCACAAGATTCAGAATAAAGTCTGCCTTTAAAATGATGTGGTTTTGTTTTTGCTTTTGACGAATACCTGTTAGTAACTGTACTGGCACTTTACTGCTAGTATTCTGGGTATAAAGAAGATTTTAAGCAAGATAAATCCTTAAACAAAATAAATCCAGGCAGCTGACATTGGCTGTTTGCTGATTCGATACTCAGGAGCGTGTCTGTTTGTGAGCTTAAAGCTGAGTGCCCACGTGCATATCCATATACAAACAGATGTAACCACAGTTGTTTTTTTTTTCTCCAGTTGTTGCTGAATGTAACTGAATCTTATTTCTAAATTTCATTCAATCCCGTCTCAGTATTTCAGCTGCAGCAGCTACTCCCCTAAAGTGGGAGAGTGGTACATTATTGAAACTCTCTATCTCACAGCTCTGGGGTGCAGCCTTTCTGCAAATGCTGGCTCTCAATGAGGTCTGACTGCACATAAGCCCCTAATATGTTAATGGCCGTAGGGGATGCCTAAGGTACTATCTCAAGCTGCTTCGCACACCATATGTCAGGCCGTTAGCCACATGGATCTATTAATCAAAAGGAGCTGGGGAAGCTCTTGGAAAGGGGGAGAATGAGAAGAATGGGGGATGGGGGCGAGGGAAAGAGAAAGCATTTAAAATCCCTTCCAGTTACTTCTTTTATTTACAAGACGAATAAAATATATATATTAAAAAATCAATGCAGCTTTCCTTTGTATTAAGTGGAGGAACACTGCTCACAGATGTCTATCAAGGAATTAGCATTGTGTCTGGGTGTGCTGAATAGAGGGAAATTTTACCTCAAGAGTTCTGTCTAGGGTTCCTTTATTTAACAACTTTTATTGGCAAGACTCTCTACACATAAATACTTT